AGCAGCAGCAGCAGCAGCAGCAGCAGCACCAGCAGCAGCAGCAGCACCAGCAGCACCAGCAGCACCAGCAGCACCAGCAGCACCAGCAGCACCAGCAGCACCAGCAGCAGCACCAGCAGCAGCACCAGCAGCAGCACCAGCAGCAGCACCAGCAGCAGCAGCAGCAGCAGCAGCAGCAGCAACAACAACAACAACAACAACAACAAAGAACACTTTGCGCAGGGGAGCAGAAAGCCACCGAGTGGCCGGGCAGGTTGGTTCCCCAAGTACGTGGACCAGTCCGGCGCCAAGGGCCAGGGCGGCCTCTTCCGCGGGCTGGCGGCGCCTCGGCGAAGCGGATGGAGTTTCTTTTGCGCGGCTGGAGGCCCTCTCTCCATGTGGGTGCGTCTACTTTTTTTTGAGAAACCGCCCCAAAATGGTGAAGGGGAACCATCAAAAGGTTGGGTGTTCGCCTTTTTTTTCTTCTGCTTTTTCCTCTTCTTTTTTTCCTTTTTCTTTTTGACGCCCCATACCATCAAAAGGAGGCACGCCCATTTCTTTGGTTGCTGTGCAAGTTTCAGGCCTGGTCGGGCTTTGACCCCCTGAACGAGGAGCGCCAGGGCCTCAGTCGCGGTTGCGAGCGCGAAGGGCGTGGATGCCCTGGCGGAATTTAAAGTCGGTTGCGGGATTCCCAAGAAGGCCACTACCATCCACTGGGAAAGGGTTTCCTGGGCGTAAACCAAGTATGACCGGCATCACCCTGTTGTGTGGTTTTGCACCTGAGGTGGCAAGACCTGGATTGAGGCGGACTATGGCAAGCCTCTCATGAAGGACAAGGCACTGGCGTGACTGCCGCGCGTATCCAAGGGATTTAGTGGAGCTGTTCAAATATCTCCTATGGGCATGGGACTTCCAAAGCTGCACGTAGAATGAAGAGACGTTGAATGAGGCATGCTGTGCCCGTGTTTTGAAGAACATGGCGAAAGCTGTTTCGCAGTTTTAGAAGACTGGACTTTTCCTGGGAGAATCCCCAGCCTTGCCGTGGGCTCGGTGTCTCCATGCGGTATCATAGGTCAACCTGACCCTTCCGGGGTTGGATCCGCATTCTCTGAACAGAATTCATGTCCTGCCACTGCCCCCCAGTCAGCCGGCCAAAACACATGGAACACAGCTCAACTGCAGCTTTCCGTCTCAGAGGCAGGCTGTTTTCACCGAGACCCCTCCCTGCTTCATCCTCAAAACTCAGCATCGCCCTGAGAAGCCACGCTCCCGCGCCTGCCAGAAAGACATGACGTTCCCGGGCCTGCTGACCAAGGAGCAGATGCAGAAGGAGTCGGGCTCCCAGCGGGACATCTTCAGCCACCGGCTGACTCCCCGCACATTGCAAGTTTCACAAATCATCAGGTGGGCATCAGGGGGGGATTCCTGACAAGGCAAGACGTAGCTATTCGGGCATGGAGAGTAAATCAAGTGCACACTTGAGTAAATAAAGTGCACAGCGTTTATCTTCCAGATGTCTCAAGCGGCCTGTCAGGTAAGAAAGACCATCGTACCTTGTGCTTTGGATTTGACATCCAGGTGTGATTTATCGGAAGGCGGGGGTGCGGCAACATTCAAGCTGGTTGATTTAGAACATGTGAACTGTCAACAGCTCCTTTTCTGGCGGGTGTCTCGGTTTCATTCACTGAAATTGTTTCGGCAAAATTGGATCTGCCAAAACGGCACGGTCTGATGTTTGTGTGTCAGTCAAGCTGGAGTTTGACTTTTGTCCAGCTAATGGGCAGTACCCTGTTGAGCCGATTGCCGCGCGGAGCTATCAGTGAAATCATTGATCAGGACCATTGAAGTCAAACCATGACGGGCAGAGATCATGCTTGGCAATACTTCTATTGCGAACATTGGCACTCCGGGAAAGGTTTGGTGTGCCCTGGATGGAAGTCAAAACCCCTTGGTGCCAACTTGCTGGTATGTGGGGTGATCGTCTGTTTTAAACCAACGGTGACGGGGCTTTCGGGGGTGATGGGAGTGTGACGAGGCGAGGTGGGGGGCCATGGGATATCAGGGGTGTGCAGCTGGTTGGCCGTCGTGGCATTGAAACGATGGCAGAGGTGTGGTATTTGGGGGTGTGGGCAATGCGGAATGCACGGACGGGTTGGCCGCGTTGTCGTTGAGCACAGGAGTGGCAAATCCTGGCTGTTATATAACTCCGCCAAGTTTCTTCATCTTCCAAGCCACGGCGCCCCTTCAATCCTGAAATCGGGATGGGGAAGATCGATCAAGCCACTTCCCCGTGCAGGACACCTTTGGCAAGATCCCTACTTGGTGATGCTTCTTTTTCGTGCCTAGCTTCAGTGGGCGAAAGAAATCAGGCCCCTTGGGGTGGAGCGTCTTTCTGCGGACTGGTTGAGGCTGGACAGCGGCAAGCTGAAGTGAGGGCGTGGCGGTTTCACCCGCAAAATCGGCACGGCTCCTTCCCTTCGTGGAGATAGCTTTCGGGAAGAGGGGATCGACGTGCCATGGGTCAGAGAATCTGGTAGTTTGCTCCTGCCATATTTTTTTCGGAATCTTACCCTGCAAAAAGGGAAACATCTAGGTCTTACAACTGGGAAGGACCCCATCTTTGGCTCTGTATTTCAGCCCTTCATACACTCGCCCGATCAAAGTTTAGTGACCTTGACGTATGCAGCGAGTACAGCCATGGGACCTTCGATAAATCTGCTCTGTGCATTGGTAAAGGTATGGTGTCAGGTCTCTTATCTCAAGTTACTAAATATGCACATGTCCAGATGCTTCAAGTCAGGGTGTCTACATAAATACGTATTATATGTATTTATACTTACATATGTGTCAAGATGGGCATCAAAGTTTGGGATAGTGCATGCATCTCAATGGCAGTAGTTGGGCAGTGAGAGACGATGCAAAACAACCAGAAGGCTGCCTGTCGACATAGTTGAGTATCTCTTTTTGTCTATACAATAAAGTTTTCCCACATTGACATGCGGCGGCGGAAAAAGCTGGTGTGGAGGTTGCAGAAGGCATGTTTGGCCTATTCACTCGAGGTGAGATCAGTCCGCAGAACACAACTTGTGTGAATGGCGAACATGTTTTTGAGGGATAACATGCTTCTCCGGCTTCACTCACTCATAGTCAAAATCGAATAGCATCTCCTTCCACAGCGGTCATCACACTTCAATCAGGTGGCAGCGGATATGTGCCATAGTCCGAGTAATTACTTGAGGCACGGCCAATGAACGGTGTTGACAAATGCTCGTCTTCCACAGCCACGACCATTGGTAGCAAAAAGCAGAATATTCGATTTTGGGTGCAGCGCACCATCGCGCCATCCCAGACAGGTACACCCCTGACACCCTGCGGATGTTTTCTTTTGAGACCTCCGTCTTTTTCGGGTCCCCGTCGGTGAAAAGGCGTCTCTGGGCATCGAGCACAAGGGTCTCGTGGCGGAGCTCGCGGTGCAGGTGGTGCCAATGCAGGTGGGATGGGTTCGGCGAGTCGATGGGCTTTGGCAGTGAGTTCTTCAACGGAAAGCTCTCATCCATAAGGATAAAACACGATGGAGAAAACCGACTCAGCAGGATGGTGCAACAGGACGTGTAAATGGGTTCTCCAAGGTCGTTCGTAAGAAAAATCCATGACGGCTCACACATTCTAAGTGTGGGTTTACGCGAAATGGCTAGACAATGGTCTGGTTCTTGGGTGGCTGAATGAGCAGGTCTCGAACAAATGACATGAGCCATTCCGGTGGTTTTTACGAATCCGAGCACATGTGGTGGGCGTGTACACTCCGATCCGACCATGTTTTGGATGGGTTTTTGTCCGGGAAACCAAAAGGAAGCACCAGCCCTCAAGTGGGCGTGCCATTGACACCCGGTGTCCTAGCAATGGAACACGTGCGACACATGTGGAAGGTGGTGTCTGATTGATGGACCTGGTAGCTTGAGATTGACACAAATCAAAATGGCATGCTTTGTTTTCCCAGTATGTGTCTTCTGTCGCCTGGGTTCAGTTTCATGACCCAGATCGGGCTTCCTGCCGGAACCAAATGAGGTTGGCCACGGTTCTGTGTAGCCTGTGTTGGTGATGCTAGCGATGCAACCGTTTTAAACGCAGGTTTCGTGCGTTGGTGAGCGTTGGTGAAAGGCGACCATTTGTAGCGTGTTGCTGCATTCTTGACTGCCCTGTTGGCAAACAAATTAGGATCAGGGCGCGATCAGCCGGTGCACCTCCGTCTCCCTTCACGCAAATAATCATCATGATTCCCTCTGCCTCGGCTTGGCGTGGGTCAGTGCTCCGCGCGACAAGTCGCACGTGACGTGTTGGCATTTCTCAGGTGCCATACCGCATGTGCATCATGGAGGCGCAGATGGGTTCGGAGTTTGGGCTGAGAGATGGCACCAGAGTCAGCACAGGGGCAGCTTCTGAGCGGTGCAACTGAGTACGATCGCCGGTTTTTCCCATGGCTTGCTCCACGGCTTGCTGAAGGTCAGAGTGGCTGAGTTACGATAAGTTGCCTCGCTTGAGCCGCTCCGAGAGTTTTCTTCCATGTGTGCCGCAATGCACCACAAAATGTGGGGACATGACCGAAAGTGCACCTTGAAACAATCTGCCTTGTTTTGCTTCAGACTTGGCCCAAATTCGCGGTCGATGGCAAGTGCGTTATTTACAACACGGTTTGCGGCCCGGGGCCGCAAGAATCATTTCCATACACGCCGTTTGCCAGGGATAGCAGTGTTGCTCCAACCGCTTTCTGGGCAAATCACAAGCCGGGGCGCAAAACTCGCTCACCCTGGATGAAGGGCCTTTAGGGCCTTTCCTTTGGGGCTTTCTCATTTCTATTTTACATGTAGGGAATCGCGTAGACATCCCAAAGCAACTTGCTGTGCGAGCACGGTTCCCACGAAGTGAACTAATTCCCGAGGGTACCAGACAGCAGATAACTCAATCACGGCTTGAGAGAGAACATCTATTTTCAAACTGAATGCCCATGTCACGCCATCCATTTCTGGACATACTATTTTTCAACGCATCTACGTAACATGGTAGCAGGTGTTCTTGCGTGCCGATGATTTCCTCAAATTTCCACTCGACCGTGGCGATTGGCCGCGTCTTTCCGCAGTCTGGGGAGCTGACTTCGGAGCTATACGTTGTCCTCAACGGCCGGGTGGATGCTGTGCTGGAGGACGGGATGACGTGCAGATGCCCGAGGCTTTCGCCAGCTGAGCATGAAACGGAGTGACGGAGCTTGCGGTGAAGCAAGATGCTTCATCGAGTCGCAACGACAGCTGCATTTGTAGTCGCAGTTTTATGGCATCGTGCATCCCAATCATGAACTTTCTCACCAAGCATTGTATGTGTAGCTGCTAGGTTGCAGCAAATCTCGAATGATATATCCGCTTTTACGTGCTTTCTGCATGTACATTTGCACATCCATGATACGCTATTGGCAATTCGGAGGGTTCCAGTAAGGGATAGTGAACTCAGGGCTTCCGCAATTTTGGCAAATCTTTCTGTTCGCCTTGACAGCATGGAAGTTCACTGTGCTTCCAGGTCCTTCCAGGTCCTTCCAGAGCTACCTTCCCAGCAAGAAATTGGTTCGCCAAACAGAGGGGCCCGTACACTGGTTGGTTTCCTTTTGCTTTCCCTTGACATGTCACCAATTTTTGGATCCCCCGCAATTGGAAGGCACTTGACAGTTCCTGCAAACAAGTGGGCCAGCATCCCCAGGACCGCCAGGGCTGCAACGATCAGTTGCAGGCCTGGGACGCGACTGTTGGGCGAATAGAACAGAAGGAAGTGCCCAGCAAAGTCCTCAGTGCCCGAATGCCCGTGGT